CAAACCCACCAGCCACTCCTTGGAAGCAAGATTGGACAATCTACTTCCGAAGAGATACCATCTCAGAAACCCAAGGAGGGGTCGCTATGAGTCAGATCCGACTCAACAGCAGTGAGTTTGGTTTTTTGTTTAATCAAATTGTAAGAACCGTATCTTGAACCTGCTGACAACCATGCTTATCATTTCTTTCACTTAATTATAAATGTCTCCTTCCAATAAGCAGAAACTAAAACAATTCTGTTCAAGTTCCTGATTAACTATTTCACAAAATTATGTTGGCAAACCTTTACAGATGGCATACTGTGTGCCAAGCACTGTTCTAGTTGCTTGAGGACATAGCAGTGAACAAGACATACCATATTTTTTTTTACATATAATGTGCGTAGCATGCATAGGAAGCTAACACAGGAGGGGGTTGTGTGGTTTGCAAAAAACGTACAGTGTGTGCATTATTTGCATAAAAACGTGGTATCCCTGACATGTAGTATGGAAAGTTAGATAATAAAAATGTAAACAAATACAGGCATACCTCAGCGATATTGTAGATTCAGTTCTAGACCACTGCAACAAAGCAAGTATCACAATAAAGTGAGTCACGTGAATTTTTTTGATTCTCCAGTGCATATAAAAGTTATGTTTACACTATACTGTAGTCTATTAAATGTGCAATAGCATTATGAAAAAGTTCAAAATATTGTCAGAATTACGAAAATCTGACACAGAGACATGAAGTGAGCACATGCTGTTGAAAAAATGGCACCTACAGACCTGTTAGATGCAGGGTCGCCACAAACCTTCAATTTGTAAAGAAAGCAGTATCTGCACAGTGCAATAAAATGAAGTATGCCTATAAATGAGGTTATTTCATATACTGAAAAAAGATGATGTAATAAAGAGCAATTAAATGGACCCATCTGAAATAAACTGCTCAGGAAACGCTTCTCTGAGGAGATGTTACCCCAACTCAGATCTGAATGAAAAGGTAGGAATTGAAGAAGTCTGAGGTATAGGATCTTGTACACTCTAGTAAAAGTTTGGACCAACCCTGTTCCTGTAGGACATCAATAGAGAACTTTAAAGCATAAAAATGACATCTGTTTATGCTACACAAAGATCATTTTGGGAATATAAGGATAATGAATGCTTCAGCCAAGCAAATTAAAGGAAGCCTGAATCAGTAGAACTCATCCATGGAGTACAACTTCAGGGACACTACTGGTCTCCAAATTATTTCCTTCAAAGTGAAATATGAAATAAAGGATAAAATGCAAATATCTCCAGAAAAGTTAACAGTTACATAAATTCACACTGAGGTCTAATATGAACTACTAAATAATAGATGTCAGAAGAAAAAAAAAAGAAGAAAATAGTATCAAAAAAAATGGACAGAAGGTTGGGCATGCCAAATAGCTACTTCACAACTTTGCCTACAGTTGACTTATGAACCAAACTCAAACTAAGTAAATCTAACCATAAAATGAAATATGAACTTAAAAGAGGGCCCAATTCATAAACTATATTCTTCCTGCTCTTTTGTCACTTCCCAGAATATTTCTCTCAAAAGGCATTATTTACAATTAGATAGATCATGCTCATTAAATGTAAATACAAAACCACTATAAATTACCCTTAAAAATAACCATTTTAGAAAGTTTAATTCCATCCTACTAGGAAAACACAGGTTTTAGAAAGGGAAAAGCAATTAACTATAGGAACTACACAGAACGTACTTCAAATTAATTACTGCTTTCTTACATCAATCATTTTTCACTCTTAAAATACCAATAAGGTAGTAGGAGAAATGAAGCCTTGCTACATGCTACAGTATGGATGGAGTTTGAAGACATTATGCTAAGCAAAATAAGTCAATCACAAAAGGACAAAAATATTATATGACCTTACTCATACAAAGATAAGAAAATGCAAATGTACAGAGACCAAAGTTTATTAGTGCTCACAGGGGTGGAAGGAAAGGATAAAAGGGGGTTAACAATGATGAAAAATCACACTGAGTAAGGGTAATGGTGCAGACATAACCACTGTAATTGCTGTCAATACCTGTACACCTGTAAAACGTTGAACTGGTGAAAGTGGTGTGACAGATATATTTACAACAATGACTAGGAAAAAAAAAGTAGCTTCTAAAGACTTATACACAACCAAACACCTCATGGAATTCGGTTCGTTGGTTTGGAAGGTTAGGGTTATAGTTTCATTGGATATCCTGGTTAATAGGCCTAATATTGTGTTTAGTGCTTTTATTGTACCTTCTAGTTCACTGTGTAGTACCTAGGGTCTTAAAAGTTTGCAAGTGGCCATCCAAAGCACAATTAATCTCCATTCACCTGGAGCAACAGAGGAAGAGCGTTAGTAACATAGGAATGATATGGAATGTGTGGCTAACTGCCTCCATGAACAACTGCCTCCTGTACCACGAGACCAGAAGAACTAGATGGTGTCCAGCTACTGTTACTGAACACTTTGATCCAAGATTCCATAGAAGAATCTGATCAAAAGGGGGGAAATGCAGAACAGATTTCAAATTCTCATGGACTCTAGACTTTCCAGAGTCATGAAGGGTGACTGAACCCCTGAAACTATTACCCTGAGATAATCTTAAAATTTTAAACCAAAAACATACCTTGAAGTCTTCTTAAAACCAAACAACAGTTTAGCTTAACTAGTAAAAAAAGGATCTCCCTTGAGAAACATTATGCTCTTTTAAAAACTATCTATAGCAGCTCTGGTAGCATGGTGCCTAAGGCATTTCACTGCTAACCAGTTGTGGTTCAAACCCACCAGCCAGTCCTCGGATGGAAGACTGGGCAAACTACTTCCATAGTGATACTGCTTCAGAAACCCAAGGAGGGGTCACTACGAATCAGATCCAACTCCACAGCAGTGAGTTTGGTTTTTCGGTTTTTTTGAACTATCTATATGAGACCAAATTGACAACTCAAAAGATTTAGAGACAGGAACCTTAGGGGGCAGTGAGTTTAAGTTAATGAGGGAGAAACAACTCAGAAAAGGAGGGTGAGTATGGCTAAAGAATGTAATAAATGTCACTAAATTGTACATGTAGAAATTGTTGAATTGATATATATTTTACTATGTATATTCTCAACAACAAAATATTTAGAGAAAAAGAGATATCAACAAGAGAAATAGAAATAAAATCAAGCACAATATCCACAAGAGAGGGAGAAAAATTCTGGCTTCAGTATGTCCCCCTCTTGCTAACTAGAAAAAAATATTGTAATTGTCACTTCTGATCTCAGAAAGCAGGGATGGGAACTCAGTTATTCTTGCAAATGCTGTAACCACACAGTTAAAGCACCAGAGCTCAAAGATAACAAATGTTAAACGCTTGTATAATCTAGTAAACATGTTTTAAGAGGATGGAGAATATGTTCTCAGGCTCACATTACCACTACAGTACTTGCTACCACTGGTGCACCAAGTATATTAATGTACCAAGATTACTCAAAACAATCATGAAAACACTGTTATACAAAGTTAAATGTGACCACTGTCATCCGATAAGGTAGAAAGAGTCAAGTTCTAACCCCAACATTTTACTGTGTAATCTTAAGAAACTTAACATTTTTGAGCCCTAATTGCCTCATCTTTCAGAGATTCAAAAATCTATTTCTCAGGATTAAAGAATAATGAGACGTATGTTAAATGACAAAAAAAGGATTCAGTACATAGCAGATACTCAATATGTGAGTTTTTGATAAGACTGTAGATTAAGATTATCTGATATTGCATGTTCTAATTATAGAAAGTCACTATACATGTGCTATTGGTAAAAAGAGGTAACTCTATTTTGGCTGTACCAACTGTTCAGCATTATTAGTCCAAGAACCACAAAACCTCTCTCCCAACAATAACCTTAAACACAAATGTCTATAATTTTGCAACTTTTATCCATCTGTCCCCTGAAAGGTAAACACTAATCAAAACACTACAGGGGCAAGAATAACTGGATGATGGACCTCCCTGGTGACAAGCCACAGACAGGAAGTAATAAAAAAAAATCTAAAATTCAAATGGATATATATGGAGTTGGAGTTAACACTCTCTTCTCAGCAGGAAGCAACAGTGCCTTCTCCACACTTCCCTCCAGTAAGATTTGAAATCTTTTGCAAACAATCCATGCTTCCTGACAGTTTAATAGACTTCTCTTCCTTAGTAAGGCAGCAAAGTGGGAAAAATTCCACAATGAAGACAAAAAAAAAAAAAAGTGCTATATACTCAAAAAGCAGATATCCTGTTTTGATTACCTTTGAAATCAATCTCAATGTTTAAAAAAGGAATTTAAGGTGGGAGTATCTTACATTTTAAGGCATTTTTGATGATACTACAGTATAGCAGTTGTTTCTTCTAATCACTACCAAAAAAACTATACATAAGAAGCAAACACACACACAGGTACAGGGAAACTTCCTTAGGTGGTCGCCTCAGCCCTATTTGGAGCACATGTTGCTTTTTCTTAACCAGGTAAAGCCTTCCTTATTACACATCACAAGTTTTAGGTTAGGGGAAAATAGAGTGGTCCAATATATCACAATGAAGTAGATCGATTTATTACTGCTTAAACTACTGCCTCTCATCAAAAAAAAAAAAAAAAAAAATCATTAACACTTCAAGGCCTACAACAAATGGACGCGACAATTTCCACGAAGGTTCAGTAAAGTCAACGGTACACCTTACAAAGCTCTGAAAGAATACAGACATTTCTGTGGAACTGGGCCCAACAGCCCAAGGTCACACCATGCCAGAGGCTAAAAAATCCAAGAAACGAGCCTCCTGCAGTTCAGGGCAACCCTGCCTAGGAATGGAGCCTGAGCTTGGTTGGGAACACTCGGGTCAAAGCTTGAATGTGAGCCACCCCAAACGAATGCAGTGGCTCCATGAGAAAACCCCAGGTGTTTCGGGCAATAGTATTTCCTTCCATCTCCCCAGTCTTCCCTTCCCTAGTTAACCCCAACACTCACATCTCCGGAGCCACTTCATCCAATGGTAGACGATAGTACTGTGGTGTTTCTTGTTCTCTATACACCAAGACGACAAGCCTTGAATGGATTCCATGGTGTTGGTCACCGACTGGAATTTTCGATCCAACGAGGACTCCAGAGCCCCCGCCGAAGAGGCCGACGAGGAGGAGGCCTTACTGCTGCCTCCGCCGCCGCCGGCCGCCATCTTCCCGGTTTGCACAAGCGCTGCTGCTCCTCCGCCGGCGGCGGCGGCGGCGGCGGCGGCGGCGGCAGCGGCGGCAGCGGGCAAAACAATCACTGCGAGTGCGTGAAAGCCGGAGGTGGGGAGGGAGGCCAGGGGGTGGGGACGGTGCACGCGCTAGGCTCTTCTGGAGGTATGGACCGGAGGACCAGCTGCTGGGCAGCTCCTAGATGCTGAAAGGAGGGGCTGCAGGTTTTGAAGGTTTATCAGTATTGTTGAAGGGGTCGTGTTTAAACCAGTCAGTAATCATAGAAGAATTACGCAGAAAACAGTTACTGCAAAGCCTTTCAAAACGCCTGGCCCCGAAACTAATGGTTTTATATTCTTCGGCTCTCAACACCAAGGACCTTCCCCACCCTTATCCCACACTCCCAAGAGTACGGGTGGGCGTTAATATCTTAAATTTAATACTACCCGACCGTTCCCTCTCAGCTGGAGAAATCTTTCGCTCTCCTTTAGATCCCCAAGCACAGAGAGGGCGCAAAGATACCTAGTCAGGATTTTTTTTTTTTTTTTTTTTGCAACGCAATAGCAGCAAAGGAACAGCAACAGTATTGCGCACGCGCTACTTAGCCACGCCCCACCTCCCCCGCTTCCTTCTTAACCCAGAAAGCAGGAGACGTGATGGCGGGGCAATCTGACCAATCAAAGGAGAAGAAGGAGAAGCGCGCGCAATAGCCCGCAAGCCCCAAAGGCCAAAGAGGCGCTTCGATTACTTGTGCGCCTGCGCAGCATATCCGTGCGTAGCGAGCGCACTGGGAGAAAGAGTGGGAGGGGAGGATGAAGGGAGTTGGCCAAGTTGAGAGGTTTGGGGGAAGGGCTCCGCCGCTTTGCCTCGCCTTTTGCACCCTGGCAGGTCGCTTTCTCGAGGCTATTTAGCTTACAGAATAGGGCTCCCACCCGTCAGCGGCAACTGTTATTCTCTGGTAGCTGCAGCTCCCGCCGCTACTACTCTACGGAGCAACGACACAGGGAAAAGTGACCAGCAGCCATCTTGCAGCGCATCACATGATGCGCATGCGCCAGCTCCAGCGAGGCATTCATTACGCCATCTCCTAGACCGAATGATATTTCACTCTCCCCTTGGACTGTACCATTCACAGCCCCTTGACTGTTTGAATTACAGAAAGAAAAAAATAAATTGAAGTAAGTGAAAGGAAAAATTTCCCCATAAAGTTTTTGAGGCGAAGAAAAAAATAAAAAGCAAGGTGTGACCTCACTTTTGCCGGTTACAATACAAACTCATAATTGCGTTATACAGTCTTAAAGAACCTCGGGAAAATCTATTCTATCGGTTAGCACCACCTCAGATTAACCATTCGTTGCATCTGCTCATGTAAACTCTAGACTTGGGGTTCCCATTGTTTCCATTAGGATCTCTGGAGGTGCAGTGGTTAACACATTCGGCTGCTAACCATAAGGTCGCCTGTTCAAACCTACCAGCCGCTCCACGGGAGACAGATGAGGCAATCTGCTTTGGTACAGATGTACAGCCTGGGGAACCTTATGGGGCAGTTCTACTCTGCCTATAGGATGGCTTTGAGTCAGAATCCACTCGATGGCAGTCGGTTTGGTTTGGGGTGTTGTTTCCAGTGGAGTCCCTGGATGGTGCAAATGGTCAACATGGTCAGCTGCTACCAAAAGGTTGATGGTTTGAGTCTACGCAGAGGCACCTTGGAAGAAAGGCTTGGAGATGTACTTCCAAAAAATCAGCATTGTAAACCCCGTGGAACAATCAAAAGGGTGTGAGATCAAAAGGGCAGCATTTGCCCAGGAATAAAGCTAACAAGATGGAAAGGAATAGGAAAAATGACAAATGGAAATGGTAAACACAGGGAGGAAGTGGGCAGAGTGCTGTTGCATTGTGGAGAGTGCAGTCAATGTTACAAAACAAAATGTTTATGGATTGTTGAATGGAAAACCAATTTGCTATAAACTTTCACCCTAATCATAATAAAAAGTTATTTAAAAAAGGAAAAAAAATGTTCAATTCTACTCTGACACACATGAGGTTGCCATGAGTGAATTGTAGTTGATTTAAGGGACAATTGGTTTTTGATTGTTTTGTTACTTTTGTTCCCATTGAACATATGCAATCACTGTTTTTTTTTTTTTTTTT